GTTTTAGCTCCTACATGTATAACATGGTGTTTGGGGTGGAGGGTGTTTTTTTTTTTTGGCTTGTTTTAGTTCATTTTCATCCCTTTCACCCCTGAAGCACTTTATGTTACATTTCATTAATCGTTCCTAATGGGTAATCTAAAATTCAGTTGTTTTCTCACTCATTTTTATCCCTTTTTTTTTTTCTTTTTTACAGAAATACAACAACGACTGGTGGATCGGCCGCCTGGTGAAGGAGGGCTGTGACATTGGCTTCATCCCGAGTCCTTTGAAGCTGGAAAACATCCGACTTCAGCAGGAGCAGAAGAGAGGACGCTTCCATGGGTGAGAACAGGGATGAGAACAGGGATGAGCAAGCGCAAGGAGGAATAAGCAGCAGCCGATATTACCGAGACGACATGTGGATCAAAAGGGATAAAGGCAGAGTCGGCGGGTTCGGGTTTGTGTTGAGGAGAGAGCCACTTTAGGGATGAGTAGAGGCTGGCGGTTGAGCCGGCAGATAAGCAGGAAGTCAGGTGGATGAAAGCCAAGTTGTGTTGTGTGGTCCAGCCTCTCAGAGGTGTGCCTGGACCGCAGCCACCGCAGAATTTTCCATCAGATGGGGCGATGGGTTTCAGCCACCGAGGCGATTTATGATGCTCAGTGCTGTCATCTTTTCTCAGTTACAATGGTGAGAGAAAGAAAAAAAAGACTTGTCAACTTGAGTCATTTTGCTCTTCTGTTTAGTTTATATTCCAAAAAGCAATTTTGTTTGCAGCCTCAGTAACAGGCTGAAAGAAAATGTTTTTTTTAGGACATAATATGTGTTTTATAGTTAAAGAACAATGAACACGATGTACATAAGTTCACATCATATTCCAACCCATTATATGCTGTTTCTGTTCTATATTTCTTCGAGACTTGACAGGACAATATAAATAATACATTGGTACATAAATAGTACATATAATAGTACATAACATTTTGGTTCTTGCATACATCTGTAGTCCAGTGTTATATTTATTTATAGCTTCCTACTTTTAGTTTAAGACTACTGCAACACTATCATATTTGATTTAATTAAAACCACATCACTAATTTCAGTTTGATTGAAATGTTATTTACATCCAAGAAATATCATACTTTCCTGAAATGCATATTTTCCATCTTGAGCTTTCTATTTTTAAAACGTAGGCTGAGGAAAGTTTGTACCTCAGGGGAGCAGTGGTGTTTGACAGACAAATATCTCGCCTGATTTTACATTCTCTCTTTTTACTTCCTGTTATCAAAGCAGCAGTAAATCCAGTGGAAATTCCTCCTCCAGTCTGGGAGAAATGGTGTCCGGCACATTCAAGCCAAACCCAAACGCTGCAGGTCAGTCCCACATATACAAGTCTGTTTAGATGTGAGAGGAAACATTATTGTCAGGTTCACAATGGGAATGTCTGTCTTGGTATCTACTCAGTATTGTGATGCTTATTTCTATAAATCAAGTCTAGTATGCACATACTCACCTGATATTTCCTTTCTTTTTCAGGAAAACAGAAGCAGAAAGTGGTGAGTAAGACAACTTTATTTCAGTATTTTACATGGACCTTTGCTATAGCGACTTCTAATAATCATAATAACAAGGGCCACACAAAGTCAAAACTTTAAATGCTGGTGATAAATTATGATTAAAAATAATAGCAGAAAACCGTTGTCTAGAAGACATAGGATTCCTTAATACAGAAAGTATCAGCTGCAACATAGGTCACCCTTATGCTGCCAAAAACACTCAAACCCAGTGGGACATGAACACAGCACCTCTGGGGGTCCATGACATTGGCAGCGGATCCTTTAGGCCCTGTGGGTTGTGTGGTGGGACCTCTGTCGACCGGATTTGTTTCGGTGCATCCCGTGGATACTTGATCAGATTGGTATCCGGGGAGTTTGGAGGTCAACACATTGGGCTCTTGGTCCTGTTCCTCAAACTCATTTGTAAAGAGTGTTTGCGGTGTGACGGGGAACACAGTCCGGCTGGGGGAGGCTGTAGCCACTTGGGAGAGTGTTTGATCTGGAACTATGTTTAGTTGGTACGTGTCAGAGTAACGTCCACATGAATTCCAGGACCAAAGATTCCTCAGCAGAACATCCCACTGAAACAAGACAATGCAGAGTTAATTGTATGGAAAGCCACATTTTTTTTAAACATTATTTTTCTATTTAAATTTAGCTGCTATTACTTTTTCTCAAATCGAGATTTAAATCTGGGGTCTGTGGAAGCAATGTGTTTTACGTCAACCAGCAATGACTTGTTCGCCAGAGCTAAAGAGGGCAGCAACCCTCGAAGAGCCTGTGGTAGAAGAATCAGATCAAGTATTCAAGAAGGGTCTCTGGTGCTCCAGATGAAAAAGAAACTGAGAGGAAACTGAGAGGAGGAATTGCCATCTAAAAGAGACAAAACTTTCGCACTGTAGGTTTTAAGCATTCTGGGAAAAATAACTTTGGATGTTGTCTAACAGCCTTGGACAGTTGACAGGTCTGTTAATAGTAAGTCAGACGTGACAAGTCCTGTATTTTAGACTGAAAGGGACAGCCCTTTTGTTATCATTTAGATCACAGATTGTGTCCTATATCAGCATGTCATTGTTAGAGAAGTTGTACTTGATCAAAAATTGAGTTCTCAAATATAAAAATGAAAACAAGCAGATGTGTTAATAAATGTCAGCAGTGTTTGGATGAATCTGTCTACTCCTGGAAAACTGACTTTGAAATCAAGAATTCTTTTTCCTATATTTTGATTTATACTACCAAATCTCACCCAAGATTCCTGTTTGTTTTCAGTACCATTGTCTATATTTCTGCAGCATTTCAAGACAACTACAACAAGACTTGTTGGGATACTCATTGAACCTCTTGTAATTTGTTGACATTGCAGAGTAGAGTTTTATAGAACTTAGAACTGGGATAAAAGATACTGAGTTTATTGAAGCTGATGCCTTATGTTCCTATGACTAAAATAAATGTAGCATCGTTGTGCATTATTTCTGTTGCATCAAATTTGGCAGAGTTGCAGCTGAGAGTTTTTTAGAGCAGGTTCTACAACATCTGTGTTTGCTGATTGTTCATCTCTAATCTACAGATTTCATTAGGCTTGTTTGAAGATGTCAGTTTTTGCTGGAGTTTTTTCAAATATAATCCCGGGGATGGGGACAAAAAAACATGCTGTATTATTATTCATAGAGGTTGTTCATTTTGTCCTCATAGTTGTGGAGCTGTTACTCACTAAGTTTAGGGGTGTTTATTCAGGTGGAAATTTCTAAAAATAACCAAGGGCTTAAGGGTCTAATTAAGACTTATTCTTAGCTGATTATTACAAAAGTGGGCAACGATTGTCATGGAATATTACTTAGTGTATGGCATTTTTTCAACCTACTTGATGTTAGGAGACACTTGCTAATAATATCAAAGCCTGACTGTAGCTGTGTGCTTTCACCCCTCCAGGCCGAGCACGTGCCACCGTATGACGTGGTTCCCTCCATGAGGCCGGTTGTCCTGGTGGGACCGTCGCTGAAAGGTTATGAGGTAGGACTAGCACTGCTGCTCCTAAAGCCATCTGACGCAGCCTTTTTCTTCACAACAGAAATGTCTTCTTATGATGCTGATGCTATATAGCCAGTTTTCTATCATTACTCTGTGTGGTTTTGTACTAAAAATCTTCACATAAAACCTGTTGCCATGGTGGAAACAAAAGGATATTTGAAAGAAAATAAGGCTCACATTACAGATGGCTGAAACACACTTTCATTTGGCAATGAGATCTTTAATTCGCCACTGATGTAGGTGCAATAACTATCACGTTCCTTTTGTGACTTGACTTCTTCTCGGTGATAATGCATTCATTGTTGTTGTCCAGACTGACTAATGCCTTCTCAAATTTGTCATCGAGGTTAATTCCATTTTAAACAAGTTCCCTGAGATGTATCATAAAAATCAAAACTGCTTATTGATCATCAGTCGGAACCACAGCGCAAACAATAAAGGAGGCCGAGGAGGTGGTGGGAGCACTGAAGTCAGTTGTCATGGAATCGCAGTGCTCGCCTCCCATTCTGGTGTTGCCGTGGTAACAACCTTCTGGGTAAACTGCATCAGTCTGAAAAAAAAAAAGTGGAGCATGGTTTGAAATTAGAAACACAGAATTATGTGTACTGCACTAAAGGTTACAGAATTAGATTAAGGAATGACATTTTTGGGACGTTAATTATGTCACGCACCTTTCTGGTTCATTGTTTCTTTGTGATGGATCAGCACAATAATAAAGCTCATGCAAAAGCCTACAAGAGTCTTTGTTATTTAAAGTTTTTTGTTTGTTTTTTAAGAAACAACAACACAAATAAACAAGTAAATGAACATAAAACACATTGACAGGAACCTGAATAGACTTAGCAAAATAATAGCATCATCTCTCTAGTAGTCACTATATTACTTAATCAAAAGCCTGTTGCACAGTACTAGTCTTTGAAGGAGCTACTAAGAGACCAGATTTGGGAACCCCTATAGCTTACCTGGTTGAGTGGGTGACCCATGAACAGGGGTTGTAGTTCCCCATCGCAGTGGTCGTGAGTTCAATTCACGACAGTTTTCTCCCCCCTTTCCTGTCTCACTCTCTCACTGTCCTAAATAATAAGAAGCAAAAAGGCCAGAAAATATAATTAAAAAAAAAAAAAAAAAGAGAGACCAGCTTCAGTAGAACCCATTGATATTGGATATTTTTGGGGCGAATACTGATTTTACCATTACATCGGATGATATTGTTTATCTCATGTCTACATTAGAACCATATTGAAAAGGAAAAATGATTTATTAACTTCACAACAATGTATTCCATAAGCTAGTAAGCAACTTACCATGAAGACAGAGCTTGACTCCACACCACCGTTTGCCAAACTGTGAACTACTCTGCTACATGTGCTGCAGACAGTGCAGACTTGGAGCTGCTCTTCTAATCACACTTGAGATAATTTAAAAATAGTCTCATCACATAGTTTCATTAGCAGTGCAGCTCCGACTCCATTAATTGCAGCACATGTAGCAGAGTATGTATCACAACTGAGCAGATGATGTTGCAGAGTCGAGCAGTGTCTTAATTTAAGTTGCTAACTGGTTTGTGAGACACATTGCTGGAAGTTCAGTAAAATATATTATTTTATGTAAAAGAAAGTTTTCATATTGGCTTAGATTAGCAACATATAAACTATTGCCAATATATCTGTGATAGATCCATATTGATATAACCGGTCAACAGATATATGATCGAGTTCTACATTTTACAACTCAAACATGAAAACAAAACAACTGTCACTGTGGCACAAAGCAAACTCTTTTTACGTGTATGTTAATTAATTGAGAAAGAAAAATGAATTATCTGAAAATATCTCATGAAACATGATGCTCTCATTATACATCTTCTCCTTTTACAAAAGACAAAAAACTGATTCCAGACAAGCAAATATAATTCCTATTGTTATACCAAGCTGTCTGTCATAACTCATACAATGAGTTCTCTGTTGTTTACTTTGCCCACTCCTTGTATTCAGGCCTAACTTGACTTTTCCAGTTGTGAAGGATAACCATCGAGGCCAAGATAAAGCCTGCTAAGGCTAGAGTAAATGCTGATGTGGACATTTTAGGTAAACATGGTGTGTTCCTCAAGAAGCAAAGTTGAATTGATTTAGGCACAGATATACCTGTGTCTCTCTCCAGAAAGGCTGAACTCAAGGACAGGCCCAGATTGTATAGATTCAGGTGCATTCATGCCTTTTGTGTCTGCAAGATTTTGTATTGGCAGTGCTATTGTTTCAACTAGTGGTACAAAGTTAGCATCTGGTTACATTAATTACTTATATAGTGATAAATAAGATTCATGTGCACAAGCTTGTCTGAAGGGTGCTAAAGAAGAGCTTTAAGTAGCAACACCACAGTTATACCATTCGAAAAGGTGTTTTAAAAGTAAAAATTCATATTTTCACAAGACTTTACTAAACTAAATCTAAAGAAATACCTCCACTTTATGAGTTGTTGAACATAGTAAAAGCACTGTTTTTCATCTGACAACTGCTCCGTGCTTCAGCTCAAAGGACACGACGCCCCTGTCAGCCCTCACTGTGGCTGTCGAGCTCATTTGAACAAATCAGAGTGACAGCCGGCCCCGCCAAACACAAAGCTTCGCCCGTTTTGATTCACGTATCCGTGCGTCCATCGCCTTGAGTCAGACACCTCAAAGCAACAGGATGACCGAGTGTCTTTAAGGACGACTTTCTCAACAGAAGCTCTTCATCTTGAATTCCCACTTCGATTCAGAGCCTCGTATTCATCAGCCGAGGCTGTATCGTGGGCTGCACTTTCCATTGCCCCAATTCATCACCTGTGCATTGGTCTCTGCGACACCTCTCATTGTAGCTCTTAATCACTTTATTTAATGTGGCCCACGTTCTGCAGCCAGCAGGAGGAGGAAAAAAAATGTGTAGACAATTGCTCGTTCAAGTGTGTAACTCACAGGCCTGGCTCGGCGGCACCATCACAATGAGTTATATGTCCAGTCGCACTTATTTTCTGCTCTGTAGCGTAATTATTCAGCAAATGTGTAAAGATATTCATGTCATAGGCCTCTATAGGCTTCGGTGTCTTGTCTTCCTCTTTCCTTTTTAACTTGTCTTTTCCTCTCTGATCCAGGTGACAGATATGATGCAGAAAGCGCTGTTTGACTTCCTGAAGCACAGGTTTGATGGGAGGTGAGCAGTAAAAGTGAAGCAGCGCATCGTACAGTGCATCATCCCGCTGCCCGGTGCGCTCTTTATATATGACGTGTGTCCTGTGTTGTTGCAGGATATCCATCACAAGGGTAACAGCTGACATATCATTGGCCAAGAGGTCAGTACTAAACAACCCCAGTAAGAGGGCCATCATTGAGAGATCCAACACCCGCTCCAGCCTTGGTAAAACTACAGGAACTGTCTCACTCAATGATGTGCATGTGTTGTAGGTGTTGAGCCAGGAAATGATTTAGCAGTTCTTTATTCATAGTTGTTCTGCTGCTATGCATTTTTGTTTGTCCCCCACGTAGCGGAGGTCCAGAGTGAGATAGAAAGGATCTTCGAGCTGGCCAGGTCCCTCCAGCTGGTGGTTTTGGATGCAGACACCATAAACCACCCAGCGCAGCTTATCAAGACCTCGTTAGCACCCATTATCGTCCATGTTAAAGTGTCCTCGCCCAAGGTAAGATCCAAGAGATAGCAGATAGCTATCAGAGTTTCACACTTGCTGCCCTCCTCCAGCACTGGATGTAGTTTTAAAGCTGCAATTTGTAATATTTACTGCTCTTGGCTCCGTGGACAAGCAGAATAATATGTCAGTTTTACTTTAATTTACATTTCAAAGTGAAATATGAGGAAAGTCATCCAGGCAGTAAGGGAAAGTCTGAAGCAAGAGGCCTGACTGTTACGCTGTGTTGGGACTTATAGGAGGAGTGACAGGCGTGTTATTACTTGTGTTGGTTCGATTTTCTGGAAATGTGATTTGTATGTATGAAATGCAAAAATTTTTCATATAGCAGAATTAATGTTGAGACTAGTTTTGTGTTTCAAAGGCTGGAGATGGTGATAAAAATGCCAGTCAAGTTAATGGGGTGGCTTGTTTACATAGTTGCATGTCTTTGTAGCTGGCAGTTATTCCACATTTGGAGATGTGTCCTTGTGCTTCCCGCAGGTCCTGCAGCGGCTGATCAAATCGAGAGGCAAATCTCAAAGCAAGCACTTGAACGTGCAGCTTGTTGCGGCAGAAAAACTCGCACAGTGTCCTTCTGTGAGTACAAACTTCAAAACAATCTTTTAATTCCAGCAAAGCAGTAACTACTTAGTTTTATTCTGCAGCCACCAGTGGGGAAACTCTGAAAAGGAATCCAGATGCAGCAACAGCAGCTACACTTTCCTCTCTTTCTGTTCCCACCCCAGGAGATGTTTGATATTATTTTGGATGAAAACCAGCTGGAAGATGCGTGTGAACACCTGGCAGAGTACCTGGAGGCGTACTGGCGCGCTACACACACCTCACTTAGCACGCCACTCAACCCCCTGCTGGGACGCAATCTGGGCTCCACCGCTCTCTCACCGTATCCTGCTGCCATTCAGGTGAACTCTGTCAAGCTGAAGGGAGAAAAAAAAGTTGTCTGGTGTTATTCTCCTTAGGTGGTTGATTTAAAGTTTGATTTAAATCTGTGTGTTTATGTGTTTCTTGTCTGTAAAATGCTGTCACACCAAACTAGAACTTTACAGACATTAATCTCCTGATAGAAGGATATGTACCACAAAGTGAAAACCTGTGCTTCTGATTAATGTATGACACCCTGAAGTCACAGCTGAGATGCATGAATTATTGCCACAGTGAGATTTTTTTGCAACAAACTAAAAGCAATCCTCAAGTCTTTTGAGGAGCAAGCACTCTTCTACATTTCTGCAGTTTATATGTATTCTTTATTGATGGAGATCAGCAGCCATAGATGTCTTTAGTCAGTTAGAGTGTATTCTAATACTCATTTTTACTGCTGAATAAAAGGATGATCTCCAGTATATTACAGATACCTTAAATTTTGCCAGAATGTGGTGCAATAGTACAAATGTTTTATGTTGTGCTTCTACTCCCCTGAAGACTCTACAGCTCCACTGAATGTGAATTTCGGGAGAAAACTTCAAATACTCTATTTGAAATGAATTAATCACTCTAGAATGACTGGAGTGATTTTGCACTGGAATGCATCTGCTTTGAAAAGGAAAAAAAAATCTTCAAAAAAGATGAAAAAAACTATTTGAAACCTTTTTCATATGGTATATCTGAAGGCAAAGTCATCCAGAATAGTGTTTTGCCTTCAGATCTGGCTTTGCACTCACCAAACGGACCTTCGTGGTGCTGATTTAAATGATCAAACAAACCAACATTGTGTTTCATTTTGCAACCAAATCTTCACTTTTATCTTCTCTCTCCTGTTCCTCAATCATTTTGCTGTCTACATGTGAGGCTTGCATGACCACAACCGTTGTGTCTTGTAAATGGAGTAAAAAGAAAAATACTTGGTGTATCCAAGAACCGTTATAACTGAGCTGACGAATTCTATCAGACTGACTATTCTTGTGGGTTTGTAGAGAAAAATGAGAAACAAGTGAGTTCTTTTTGTGTCAAACAGCTGCAGCATATGTGTAACTTCACATTGCACTTCCTGTCACATGACTGTTGTGCAGGTGTGCATTAAAGTAAACTTTGACTTTTTAAGTCCCTGACATACAGCACTGTGAAAAAAATGTAAGTAAAAAATGCTGCCCTTAAAACCTCTTTCAGCTATACTTGTTTTTCAAAATACTCGGCAGACAGATTGTTCTTGATATCGCAGAAAACTTGCCTCAATTCTGTGGAATTGGGATGTTTTAGTTCCTTGTCTCACTTCATGTTATCACAGGCTGAAGGATCAGGACTTTGTGCGGCCCAGAATTCCCTGCTCTTCATCATTGTGAGGTCATTGCCATGCTGCAGAATGATTTTGGTACCAATCAGACGCTTCCTTAATGGCACTAAATGACAAATAGGAGTCTGATTGTGCTTCTCAGCATTGAGGAGACCACAATTTTTGACCAAACTTCATGTAGAGATATGCAACCTCCTGCTTCATTCTTCTTTGCTGCCTGCAGTACTCATCCTTGCATCTCTTTCTCTACCCTTCAGTAAACAAACTGCTTTTTTGTTGGAGCCAAATATCTCAAATTTTGACTCACGAGTCCAGAGCACCTGGTGCCTTTTTTTCTGTCCCCTGTCTGTTCTTGTGTTTTCACACAAAAGTGAGTCACTTGGCCACGTTTCTGCCAATTCCGAGCTTATGGCGCTGCTGGACATCATCCGAATTTGAAGGGGTGTCAGCTTGATGTTCATTCGTCTTGTGTGCTCGGCCAACCGCTGTGTCACCCAAACTCAACCTTCTTGTCAGCTGCTTTGTGCAAGAAACGGCACATTTGGAAACATGTGCTGGGAAATTTCTGCCTGTTTGAGTAAAAAAAAAATGTAATCAAAAGTAGTGTTTCCTAAAATATGCAAAACACATAAAACAGACATCTAAGACAAATGTTTTAATGATGCATATACAGTGCTGTGAATTGCATATTTGTCACACTTAAATGTTTCAGATCATTAAATAAATTTAAATATAGGACAGAGACAACCCAGTGCCAAATGAATTTGGTCATTTGGTAAATTGGTAGCTAAAGGGGCAGTTACTTTTTCACGTAAAGCAAGGTGGGGCTGGACAGCATTTTTCTTTAAATTAATGAAATCATCATTTAAAAACTGCATTTTGTGTTTTGTGGGTTATCTATGTCTAATTTCAAATAAATATAAATATTAGTTTGATGATCTAGAACAGAGGTACCCAATCCTGGTCCTCAAGAGCCCCTATCCAGCATGTTTTAGATGTCTCCCTCTTCCAACACACCTGATTCAAATGATCAGCTCATCATCAAGCTCTGCAGAAGCCTGATAACAATCCTGATGATGTGAATCAGGTGTGTTGGAAGAGGGAAACATCTAAAACATGCAGGATTGTGGTCCTCGAGGACCAGGATTGGGCACCCCTGATCTAGAACATTTAAGTGTGAGAAATGTGCAAAAATAGAGGACATCAGAAAGGGAGAAAATACGTTTTTCACAGCACTGTAAAGTGTCTAAAACTTTCTGCAGGGTTACGGATCATCTTCTTATACAATTAGGTAAAATGCTTGTATTGCAAAGGGGTTTGCATTCGATAAAACTAAGAAAATTTTATTTAATTGTTCAGTTTCACTAGTTTACACACCTTTTCCCACTTTAATATAATGTGAAACATCATGAATTATGCACAGTTGCTGCCTATAGTCTATTAAAGTGTTGTGTCAGATGCAAAACAAAGCAAAACACCATATGGAATCAGTGTTTGTTCTTTTTCCTCAAACAGGCCCAAAGAAACCGGAACAGCAACCACACAACGACAGACCACTCTCCCGTTGAGCGTCGCAGCCTGATGCCCGCCGATGAGAACTACCACAACGAGCGTGCACGGAAGAATCGCAACCGTCTGTCCTCAGGCTCACAGCACAGCAGGGACCACTCTCCCCTGGTGGAGGAGGACTACCAGGACCCCTACCAGGACTCTTACAAGCCTCATCGTAACCGAAGCTCCCCGGGAGGCTACAGCCAGGACTCCAGGCACCGGCTTTGAGTTACGAGCTGCCGTTAACAAAGTGTACGCCCGTGTTTCTCTAAACAACCACCAGTGAACACAAGAGCTGAGGTAGCTTTTCTGTAACGTGATAAATCTACTACACTCATGTGGACTGTAACAACCTCTTATTTCTGTGTAGTACCTCATATCCCCTTTGGCCTTGCCTCCTGCCAAATGGGCATTTGAACCTAAAAAAAAAAAGAAAAATAGAGAATCTTGCTCTTGCTTTGATGTGAACAAAGGACTGGATATGAAAGTAGCACAAGAGCAGAAAAGTTTAAAAGGGAAACTAAAGCTGGACCTGATTTGATTATATCCCAAACATGGCTTGTGAGTGAAATACACTAGCAAGTAGGAAATGTGGGATGTAGGCTCTTCTGGACCCTTCCCGCTATCTCAGCTGTTACTGTAGCATGCAGGTAGGACTGTAATTACAGTCTGACTCAAGCCAGACAGCATCCAGTGGTGATGATCAGCACAGAACTTGTTTGCACGCGTCCAGGAGCTGGTAGAAGCAGAGTATAATGCATCTTTAATACTCCTCAAGTTTGTGTGCCACTGTCCTCGATGTGAGTGTAATAAATCCTGTGAAAGCTTGTTCCCAAATCCAGAGTTTTACAATTTAGTTTTTTGTTTAGTTTTCCTTTTGGAAGTGACATGGATGGTGTTGTGTTGTTCTCTTCAGGGTTCATGCAGTAGCTTCACGTGTGCCCCCCTTTTGTTCTCTCTAAATGCCATTTTTCTTTTTTGTCATGAATCATATCACGACAGAGACATAAATCATGCAGATACTTATAAAATTCTCCAAACCTCAGGAACGAGAGGTCATTTAGACCTAGAAGTGTAGCGTTTATGTTCTCACCCATCTGATGGGGACTTTAAATTTTGAGCGTCATGTTAAATAGTTAAGAGATTTATGATTTAAGCTATTAAGATAGGGAAGGAACTCTGCCGGCGCAAGAGTCACGAGGATGGTCATGTGGCTAATGCAGGCAAGTTTTTCACATGCCGTGCGTTTATCAACTGCTGTTGTCTGTCATGTGTTTAGCAGGACATCATATGGAACTGACAGAATTGGATTTTAGTAAGTGACTTAAAATTGAGGGCTTCCATGTGTATATACAGTCAAAATAATTAACGGAAAGAAACATTTATGTCAACTTTTACTTTGAGTTTATTGAATTACATTCCATTTATCCATTCAGAGCCTTGCATACCTAAACCTTCCAATGTCTGATTAAAAAAAAGGTAACTTTTCTTTATTATTTAAGATTTTATGAAATAAATAACACTGAAACACTGTCATCAAGTAGCAATTTAACACGCCCCTCTTCCATATTTTCATCTTTTTCATTGTATTTAAGTTACATAAAAAGACTCCTGTTGAGTCCGAAACTGTCTAAAAGCACTTGGGCACTGCGCTGCCTTCGTCACAGTGTCTTTTACGTGCTACTTTCTTGGAAATGTAGAGCAGTTCCCTGCATTTTTGAATTTATATGTATGCTGCCAGCTAATACAGGATTAATATAACATTACCTTTTAATGACATATCCTTGTATCTTGTAATTTAATATTTAGATATTAAAAATCTCATTTTATTTTCAGTTCTTAGACCAGAGATCTCGTTGTGAAGTGATTCTGGGGGAAAAAAAGGAAGACCGACAAGGAGACTTCTGTTCTTACCTGCCAGCTTTTATTGTCGTCGTTTCCAAACGGTGGAGCATAAGCAACAATTTAAAAGATTTGAATACTGCCTGTGAGAGAATGATGCATTGATTAGAAGTTTGTGTGCACTGTCATTTTACAATTGTAATGAAATAAACTGCCCTTATGCTGTTGTATGGATAGCACTGTTTGTTTGTTCAAAAACACACACACACACACACCTGTCTTTGTCTCTATTTCCTTACCTATATTACTAGTTTTAGTACAAGAGGAGCACTTCAAAACAGTAATATAATGAGGAAAAAGCCTCAAGCTATTTCATTTAGTATCATAAGATAAGATAAACTTTATTAATCCCTCACCAGGGAAGTTTGCATGTTACCACAGCGAGAGGGACATAGAAGAAGCAAGACAATAAAAGTACAAGAAGGCTTTCCTATGAACAGATGAGACATGAAAAACGTACATATGAATATGCACAGGAATGGCATGATGGATAATGTACCCAAAAAAAGAGCACACCCTAAAGGGTGTGTAAAATTTTACGTGCAGAATAGTAGTGCTATAGTACTGTTATTATCATAAAAAATAAAATTGTTATATATATTAGCATAGAAGAAAACAATGAAGAATATAATATAATATAATATAATATAATATAATATAATATAATATAATAAAGTGTATAGCGCGATAGTGAAAGTGCGCATGCGCGAGATTGACAGCGCAGCGCACTTCACAACAGCCAGCTGACAGCAACCAGTTAGCCACAGCGGTTAAGCGTTTTGGTTTGGTTTCCGGCAATAACCCAACCGTCGTACCTACATTTGCACCGTCTGAGAGAGCCGTAGTCGGTATTAATTCACACAAGTATGGCGGTTGTACGTAAATGCTCTGACAGCTCTTCGTCGGTGTAGTTAGCGAGCTAGCTAGCTAGGTAAAGTTGATAGCACTGATATCACTAACGCTAGCTAGCTAAGTTACAGCGGATTCTTACAAGCTGGCATCGAAAAACTCCGCCGTCAGCCATGGGGATATTATTTACGAAGCTATGGAGGCTTTTTAATCACCAAGGTAAGCTCGGTGTCGTGGCTTTTATCATGAAACTGTCGAAGATGTGGGAGCTCTGTGGGCTCGGTGGTCAGTGAAGGCCCGCTAGACTGCTCCCTTCTTAGAAACCAGCTTTCTATCCATTACGGTGTATAAATCATACCGACATGTACATCTGTCTGTGTGGTTTTATTGTTTTTATCACTGCTTACAGCTCGGCTACATAACGTTATTAAGGTTTCGTCTTTTATCTGGTGGGGAATGTAGTTTTCCACAAGCTCACAGCACCGTTTGTGTGTTAACTTTGTGTTTGATTATTTATGAAGTGCAGGTACATGAAGCCAAGCAGATCCCCGGTTAGTGATCTTGAAACAGTAAACAGCTCATTGCGAAACCTGTGTAACACGAACCCCGACGTATGGTCCAGTGGTGACCGGTATTGTGAGTGGAGATGGCTACACAAACAGAGCACAGTGAAGGCAGCTACATCAGCACAATGCTCGGGCCAGTAAGGATCAATGAATGACTCTGGAGTGAATCACACCGACTCTGTGCCGTCAGTGTAGTCGTGTCATCGTGTCAGTGTTAGTCAAGCATGCAGGTAACTCCGGAATCCATTCATACGTGGCTTCTCTAAATCATACATCATCACATTTTGATTGTACATGTTTAGTTAGTTAGGACAAAGCAGGTGGCGCATGCCAGTCAGCTGTGAACAGAAATGCTGTAAACTAGGGATACAACTGTTTTATTTCAGTCAATATTTATATTTTTGATAAGTTTTAATGACCTGTGTTTAATAACCAGGAGGGAAAATGTTTCATTTGAATGTAGCTGCTTTACTTTGAATTTAACCACTTGTTAAACACCCTATTTTTCAATTTACACAGGTAATCATTTTATTGTTAACCTTAATGAATAAAACACGCATAAATAAATTATACACATATTCAAGGATAAGGAGATGATTTCTCTTTGATACATATGAATTTAAGAAAGCAGTTAAAGCCTAGAGGCTTATGACAGGTGCCTGTTGCGAAGTAGCTTCACAATACTAAGTTGAAGGATCATAGTGGCTATCTGGGACTGGGTATCACTGGATGTGGACCCTGGACCAGCCACCACATACAGCCTTCAGTCCAGTCCTAGGAGCTGGCCACTGGAAATGCATTGCTCTGGTGGAGTGAGGCACAGGATCATGGGTGTTTTTAGGCCAAGAAGTGTACCCTGCAATCGCTGGTCCCCACCAGATGCAGCCTCCACCAAGGGAGGTCTGCACGGGCGGATGGGGATGACGAGAGGCACAAGTGACTGTGGACTAACAGACCTGCACAGAAGTCACAGGGAAAGTGACAGAGGGCAAAGGGGTGTTATCGAAGGGCATGATAGACTGCAGGAAGGGAGCACACTTAAAGTTGTTCATGAAACGGATCTTTGTATATTCATGATGGTTTGCAACTGATGCATTTAAGTAAAGCCATTGTTCCAGTTGCTACTAACAACATGAACCTTCAGGCGCAGTGATTTTGCAACAAAAATCTCTACAATGATAGTGAGGGTGTCAGACAGAAAGGTTTATTAGCTGTTTGATTACCTGTGAACTTTGCTCTATTTTGCTTTTACCCAACCAGTCCCTGGAGTCTGTAAAGCTTTTATTGTAACCCCTGGATCTAGGCCCAGATGCACTTCTAAGTCCCAGGAAGACTTACCATGGGTGTCCCCAGCTGATTCATTCAACCCAGAGGAACAACAGAAGTTCATTTACAGAGATGAGGGCATGTGATTAGACATTACAAACCTGGTAGTCTTGACAGTTTTTTTTTTTTTTTTAAAGGCTTCAGGGCAATGGTAGAAATTAAGTGTCATAGTCACAGTACTGAGCCACTGGTGGTTTTCACGTGATCTTTGTTGGTTTGGTCTGAAGTATTTACATTACTGTCAGTTTTGTTTTGTTTTTTTAATGGATGCTAGCTAATCTATCTCACAAACATAGCAACAGGTGAAGTACACACTGTAGATATAGACACACATCCATACACAAACAAAACACATTCATAGTTACAGTATGGGGAACGAGAGTTTTAAAATTTCTTCTAATCTTATCAGTTTAGATAATTTATTGTTGTTTAGGATATTTTTTCAAGGAAAAATGCACTAAGTTTGCCAGTTCAACCTTGTCGAAATTGTCTTGTTTTTAATAGTAAAATGACTGTCTTCAGAGTCTGTACAGTTGGTCAGACAAAACAAGCAAATGTAAGACATCACGTTGAATTTTAAGAGTTCACAGTT